TGGTAGGCGAGTGGATTGCCTCACGCTGCGGCCGTTTTACTCCGTAGAGAAAGAGAGGGACAAATTGTGTCTGCATTTGCGGTGCACCCTGTATCCCCACCCCCTCACCAGCGTCCATGCAGCTGTACCGCTCACAATTACTCCACAAGGCGCAACGCGCTGTCTGCTCATCGCACGTCTTGTTTGTTATACTCTCAACAATTTGCTCTGACAGTAACGCCGGCATCGGTTTTCGTGGTTTTCCTCGACGTGTTCTGGCCGTGTCTTGTCGCAAAACCTGAGCAGCCATCGCGACCTTTCCTTCTGCGCTCGGGGTCTCTGTACGACAACGCAGACCGAGGGCGTTGAACACAAAAGGAGAACTGGAGACAAATACATAAAGAGGCGCTTCGTATGTGAGATTTGAGGTTCTCACGGCAAGAAGTATGAATGAAGATGAGCGTCTTCACGGGACAACGGGCCGTGTAGTCTGATATATTTACGGACGTTTCAAAGGAGTTTTCCTCCTCCATCTTCAGGGCAGGTCACGGATAATGGAAGCGGTGTTGGACGTTGCAGCAGGTTGTAAGCCACAGTCGGATGCGTTGTGCTTGGCCCAGAGCAGCCGAGACCTGCACGCGATGCTGAATCACTGAACAAACACCCCAAGTGACCTAGCCACTCACTTATACAATAGACAATCAGCCAATAGAACACTCGTAATAAGGAAATCCTAAGGGCATGGACTCACCAAGTTGAATGTCTCTGCTCCTAGTGGACCGCGCACCTGCTGTGGCCAACGACGTCAGCGCCAACAGTAACACCACTTGCCTCGTTACCATGGTCACAGGCAGCTCAGCGTCGGATGTCCTGTAACAAAACCGTCAATAATTTGAGCTCTTTCCAAGACAAGTTTCATCTCTTGACGCTGAATAGTCCCTTGAAGCCGAAGCTCGTCCACGTTTATACTTAAGAATCCAGTCCGTACCGCAAAGAAAGTACAACACTTCACCATTACGAAAAACAACTGGTTAACGCTGTTTACAGCGAGAATTATCTTGCAGGCATGAATACACAGTAAAGATCTGCTGGGTTTTAAAGGGTTAGTGATGCAGGAAGTACGAGAGGTTTCATAGGCAACGCAGCCACCCGGGTGGGAGTAAACAAACAGTGGACAAGAGAGAAAGGATGCACAGAACGAAAGAGGGAAGAATAGAAAAAGACGATGGTGTTATGGACTAAGAATATTTACGAAACGCGTTATTTGCAATTTCAGGTTACATCACTGGCCTTGACGAACATTTATTGGCTAAGCAAACGATGTCCCACACCGTAGTAACAAAAAGTTCATCTTCTCTCTCGCACGTCGTTAAACATCTCCCGTACCCAAAAAAAAAATGGCTCAAATAAAAGTTTCGCATTTCAATTACACCACTTTTGTACGCAATGTAACAATTTCTGTTGCACGAGAAATTTCTTGAGAAATCCAAGAGTCCAACGCGGCCCCTCCTGAAGACCTGGCAGACATAACGGAATTCGTCTGTCGTGTGAGATTTCAGGTTCTCACGGAGGCTCGTATGAAGATTGCTGTCTTCTAGAAATTGCGCCATTCAGTCTGACAAAAACCGACCGACTTCTGCCATCAGGGCGACAAGCAAAGTGGCAGTAAGTACCTCTGAAACGTCAGTAAACACTCGCCAGTCTCCACTACGTAACATCCCAAGAGCCTTCAACCTGTAATGTGCATCTAAAATACTAAATTTAATCGAAATCCTTTGAGTATTCTGGGAGACACACACGGGTATGACGATCGGCAGCGACCTCCAGCGGTATCAGACCGATCATCTCAAAAATCATTAAAATTTGTGTTCTTAATTGAATCAGAAGACGGGGTTCAACACACACCGGATAAATGTAAACTATGATCTCCATTAACTCTTGTAATTTGAAAGCATTCAGACATAAATAGACGCTACTATATGAGTTTTACCGAACTATGTTGCCACCGCCCAGTGCTCATCGCCCTGGGCGGTCCTCACCACGATTCCTGGCGGTGTTCTTTCAAACTCACCGCCTCAGCAAATGAATTATTCATCAGTGCGGACAGTACAGTATTATTCATCCGGATGAATTGAATATTTGTCACTTGCAACTAGATTGGCCCCTACGAAGTTAGACTACCACCTAATGATTTACTTTAAATGTATTCAACGACACTATTCCAACTGCTAACGTTATCAATATGACTGAACAATAGTCATCAACAAAGTTAGTTGTGAGGATTGTCGACGTTTCGGGAGGCAAAGTAACAAAAAATGGAGAAGATTACGAAAATTAAGAGCTTCAAAATCGGAACTTTTCATCTAATAATTTTACGGCCGGGTGGTTGGCACTCCTGCTTCGTACTCGGGAGGTCCCGTGTTCTAATCTCGGCTATAATTATACAGACAAATGCTTGGACAGTATCTTAAATTACGTCACAACCGTTTCCTTGCCATTTCTTTTTAGTTCTTCAGTGTTCCTATCATCCGACGCCATATTGTCTAAGCTGCTGATAGCGTCTTTAAACCACATAATCCACAGCGCCAGACTGAAGTTTATGGTTTCTTGCGGTGCTGTGGCGTTGCGAGCAAAGAACAGAATTTTTGGTACCGTGATCCAACTGGAGGGTCACAACCACCCTGTAAATCCCAGGGCTCAAAATGACCTGCGTCCTGCCCTAGCGAAGGTCGGTGATTGATTGGTGTCTCTGGGGAACAAAAACTCAGAAGGTCGCCTTCCGGACACTTGCGGCGCCAGTGCAAGGCGAGCAGTTCAGGTCGAGTTCTCTGAATTCCGATGAGAAAAACTTAAGTGCCTACAAATTCCTACGCTGATCATTTGCCTTCAAGGGATTTTGGGTTTTACGGGATAAAATTGTTGTCATGGTAATGCTGTCAAGGGAAGCCCAATATAGAATCACCGATCCATTGCCCTTCTGTGGAGTAAGATGGATTCACGTTGAAAGGAGCTCCAGCCATTCGAACATGGCTGCGCCCTTCAGTTCCAACAAATGAGGAAGAATCCCGACTACGACGTGTGGGCTTGCAAGGGACAGTGATGCCCCGTCTCTAGGGAGAGATTTGTCCTAAGATATCCCTTCTCTCAGGAGAGATTCGTAATATGAGATACTCTGGTTTTCAGGACAATTTCTCATGAGATATTCTGACTGTCTGTGGAAATCTTTCCTCGGATACTCTGGCTATCGTGAGATCTTTTTCCTTCATAGACATTCTGGCTCTCAGTAGATATATATGTTTTCTGACCAAAATATCCCGAATCTCGGGAGAAATATTCCTTGAGTCACAGCTCTGGAGAAGTTTGTGTAATGTTCAGAGGGTCGGTCAGTTAAATACCGGACAAGAGGTCAATTTCTGGATGCCAGCTTCCTCATCACTTACAGCCAATCGCCTACTATCCAATGCACTGCCGCTGTTAAGTATCTGAATCTCATCTTTCGTGTGATATTACATCCACCATAAACTTCAGAGTTCACGGAACAAAACGTGGCATAAATTAATATTGAGGGAGCCAGGATCTGTTAGGTTGACTTCACCACGTTTGTTTTAACGGCCTGTTTAAACTGGGGTCGCTCGATGTACGTCAGGGGTGCGGAATTAACTTTCGACTCAGGGGTCGCATGCAGCCATTTCACAATCTACAACTAGGTCCGAAACTTTGCTATCTACTTACAGGTTTACACGGCGTTTCAACTGGCCAACATATGGATTAAAGAAGTGTCTTTAATCAGAACCATAGCCGCCTTCTTATGTGATGTTCCAGAAAGGTTTTTCGACAGTTGGTAGACGACTTCATCAAAAGAGTCGTCCTGTCAAAGGACAGCACCCACGCAACACGTGAGAATCGAATACGTATTCTAAAGGACTTCTCCGGCACTAACATAGGACTTATAAAGAATTTCAACAGGATTTCTCAAGGAATTATCCAGCACTAGTCCAAGGCACCTCACGACCACCCGATAACACGCTAGTAATTTTCCAGTACACAACCCAACCCATCATAAAACAACACAACCCTCTCTAACATAACCGAACTAAAGCTAACCTAACTTAACATACCCTAAATCAAACTAACCAAAAACAACCTAACCCAAATTAACGTTTCCAAATCAAACCTAACCTAACCTTACCGACAACACAGGATCAAAGACACCGCCTAAGGACTTCAGAAGAACCTTTCCAGGACTTCTCCAGCACTTCTCTATGACTTAAAACTTACGTAAATTCTTTAAAGGACTTCTAAGGCACTACTCTACGAATTCTCCAAAATTTCTCCAGTACGTCTCCAGCACTTCTCCAGAACACCCTGAGATCAACTGATGAACACCAGAAATTCTCCAGGACACAACCCAACCTATCGTAAAACACAACCCCCTCTAACCTAACCAAACCTAACCTAATCTAACACAAATTAACGTATCCAAATGTAACATCGACTAATAATACCTAACCGACAACATATGATCAAAGACACCGCCTAAGGACAACTCCAGCATTCCTCCAGGAATTCTCCAGCACTTCTCTATGACTCAAGAATTTACGTAAATACGTACACGATCCCAACACCATTTGATGAAGAACCCACAATAGACCGATCGTCAAGTGTCACTGCATCATAACCAACACCTGACTTCACGTCGCACTGCAGGCTCAGAGCCAGAGCAGATATTATTAGAGGCGGAACACAAACACGGTGTTCTGATGGTCACGTGATCGTGTGACGCTGTATACTGATTAGCTCTGTGTTCGGGAGGTTCCGGCTTCAGATGTGGACCCAGATGTCAGACACTTTAACTGGCGTTTGTAATGATTTTCCTCGTTCGCTCACAGAGAAATTTCTGGAGTAAACATTACGTAAAAGGCACGCCACGACCTCTTCGCTTCATCATCGTCCACTGACATCGGCTGTCGTGAATCGTCTTCAGGATCAGAACGCGTAGATCGATTAGTCTCTTGTCTTCGCACACAAACATCAAAAATTACAAATTTAAACTTTCTTCGGCGTGGGTGTTGGATGTGACACTACTGCGAAGGATATTTCGCACCTCCGAAGACACAAAACCACAAGGAAATTTGGAAAATTACACAATGTTTGCCACGATTTCTTGAGGTCATCATTAAATCGACGACTTTTGTCAGAAGCGTGGTGGACTCCCGGCTGGACAAAGGGACGCGGGTTTTCCCGACGCGCAAGTGCCTGTCAGATGCTCAGTTGTTCCCTACCCCAGGGAACGCAGATAAGGCGCACAGTGTTTTCGTTCTGTCCCACCCACCCCAATGTTAGGAGCTGCCGTTTGTTTGTATTAATGATTTTTAATAACACAGGCCACGTGCAAGAGACACGTGTGCTTGGGTTTACATTACCACCCACCCAGGGCGCGCACAGGTAGCCGAAAGACGAGGCTCCTCTCCATGCCATCCTCAGACGCTGTTTCTCCCTGACAATGGAATCCTACACATCCTTCGAGGTCTTCCTGGTGACCGCTTTCCCACCGTCATTGCGTACGACAAATTCCGATAGGGAATTCATATGGTGAAGTGTTGTCAGTCACGGAGCTGAAAGACCACCTCTTGTCGGCTGTCAGCAGCTGCGCTACTCTTCCTCATGGACACTTCTTTGAGCACTGGAAAGTCGATTCATCTGGTCAAGACGTTTTCCGCCCATAAATAATTTGCTTAACTGGGCCGAGTTATGCTCCATTTCGAAAGTGATGAACATGTCTGCAACAAATCCATTTTAATAGTATCATCCCATTTTAGCATAAGTCTCCCAAGTAAGTTTTGACCAAAATTCTATGTGCATTTAGTCTTTCTCCAACGCACCAATCCCGCCCTCGGGGGTAAATCGGTCGGGGCGTGAAGGTCACCAAACCGCCTCCATCTAGTGCCGATGTCAGGAATAGGTGGAGTCATGCATCCACTGCCACCCCCACACTTCAGCATGACGCGATGTAAAGTTAAGGACAACATAACCTTTGTATAAAACAGAAAACTAAACAAAAAACCATGTGGTCTGATAGAAGTTTACCGACGTTTCGTAGTTCCTTGCTGCCTCCATCTTCAGGGCGATAAGTAGTCGGCGATGTTATGACGGAAGACGCCTCAAAACCTACTTTTTTAAAAGAAAAACTATTTTCTTGCCCGTTATCTGTTTCAGGGGGCTCGGAACGAGACTGGATCCAGTTTGTATGAAACACTCACGAAATCTTTCCGTTTTTGCTCACAAAGAAAGATGCCGTTTTCTTGGCATTGTGTTACCCTTGTTCCTTGTCTCCAGGCACCTCACGTGCGCTGCAGACCAGCCCGCTGCTACTCTCCTTCTGTTTTACGACACGACGCGTAAACAACAGCGCAGCGTCCACACATCAATCACAGGCCCTTCCACCACTTGCTGAAGACAGTTTCGAAGTTCTGATTTACTGACAAATCGACTTCCAGGCTCACGCGGCCTCGAAGCTGGTCCGCAGATTCCCCCACGACACAGCAGATTGGACAACCCTTTCTCAAAACACGTCTCAAGACATGAATTTCAAAACGGGGTTTCTAGCACACGAAACAGGACATGCCAATTACTCCGCCCCGATTGTCAGTACGGTAGCATCCTCAGTTGATTCAGCATCGTTCTATTAATGGTTTGCTCAATTACAAACAAGTTAAGAAACTTGATTTGCTGGGTATCCTTTCTAACAGACGAGAGTCTCTAATAGTTTCGTGTCAGACACTTCAGGTTTCTGTCTTGACCCTTCGTGTTCAGCGAAACAATTTTTGATGGTTGTACACCTAGGTCACAAAAACATTCCCTTCAGCCTTAATCCTTTTAAACCTGTTGGTAAGTATATATACCACCTGCTTTAATATTAAGTGGCTGTGCGCTTTACCATTTATCATTCTCAGAACAAACAACTGATCGTTGTCATGGACACGCGTTGTGTTTTCTTCTTGGTACGGGCTGGATCTTCTTGCTCAAATTTCCTTTCGAGAATTCAGACTGAATATTAACTAACTAACTAACTAACTAGATGGCTTACAGAACACGAAGGTTCATCACCGAATTAACCAAAGCCCACCACCGGACCCTGTCCTGAACCAACGAAATCCAGTCTCCTTCAACTCCTATCTCCCATAGAACCCGCCTGAGATTATCCTTCCATCTACGTCTAGGTCTCCCCAGAGGTCTCTTTATTGCAGGAATAAAAGAAACTGTGGATTATAGGAAGTAAAGAAAAAATTAAAAGTGAACTTCAAAATTTGTTTTTCACGGTGCACGAGCTGGGAAGGTGAGAAACGCGCCATGGGGGGGGGGGGCACCCTGAGCAAAGTTTGAAAGATAATATTAAAATTAATCTTAGGGAAATAGAGAGTGATAGGGTCGAATGAAATCTAGTGGCTCAGGTTATGTTCTGGTGGTGGATTCTCACGAACGCGGTAAATTTGTGTGTGTGTGTGTGTGTGTGTGTCCCGTAAAAACAGGGCATTCTTGAACAGCTGTGCAACCACGAACTTTTGAACGCAGAAGCTGCTCTGTGGAGTAACTTGAGCCGCGTCCATGGCACCACGTGCATTACTGTCCAGTCACTGTTGGCTTTTGTAATCACTGTGAAGGACGTGGACTTGTTACGTAAGAGACGCACCCCGCAGACCGTAAACAGGAGATGCACACAGCAGATACTGCAGCGAACGGAGTGTCATACACACGGCACAGGCCGAAACGAGCTCATTAGCTCCTCTCTCTGTCTGCGTGTGTTTATTCGTTCGAGCATGTTCCACCGTTTACATTCTTATGAACGCGTGTAGTGACCCTCTGAAGCCCGAAGCTCAAACTAACTCAGTCCTTACCTCAAAGAAAACACAATCGATTTGTTAATGCAGTTTAAGGAAATAACATTGTCTTTTTTTTCCTAAGGATCATACCAAACACATAAAAACACTCAGTGGTCAAAATTCGGAGTTACTGAATGTTAAAGAATGTGATATATATATATTGTTACCGATGGGGGTTAAAGCAGTTTAAGACTTGGGCTACATTCACACTTTCTTATAAATGACGATATTTGATGAAAACTTCAAGGCAGTTTACTCAAAATACGACAAAAATTAATACATTAATTTTCTCTAATAATTCTGTTCATTTACATGTATTATTTATATACTTAAAGCAATTTGGGTATTCAAAATTTTGGCGATAAATATTTGTTTAATTATACACGCGCCACACAGTGACGGAAAAACGTACGCCGGCCGCACTAAAGGACAACTAGCGGGCCACTGTTTGATAACCCGTGCACCATATCCTCCAAGTATCAGGCCACACCATAGCATCACAACTTGCTGGGGATTGAAGATTCAAACCCACATCCTGTGAAATTTAACCATGCACCAAAACATTTTCGGTAACAAGCTCGCATTTGTAAGTACTCCGGCATCAAAAGAATATAAATACTTCACGCACACTAACGAACAACGAATGAATTGCATACGGCTAGTTATACAACACTCGTCTCAGCCTAGACAGGACAAGGATCAGACAGGTTTAAATCTTGAACGTAATTACCATAACGCAAGTACCATGATGATAAGTAAAGAAGGCTTTCAGCCCACTCTAAGCCTTGACCTTTCTCGCGAATCTTTTCGCCATCTTTTCAAAACCCGTCAACATATGAACGTCTCTGCCTACACAGAAGAGACACACGTACATCAATGCCTCCAGAGGGATCCGAACCCATGGTTTTCCCTTTATTCTTTTTTGTTCTAATATGGCACCAGGTAAACTCAATAAAACTGGCAAATACTGGAACTTAATGACCTAAATCACAATCCTGTTACTGCCAGTTTTTTTAAGTTGTTTGCAGAGAAATGCAAACACAACGCAAAGACTTGATTTGAATGTAAATACAGGAATAAAACAGATAGAACTAAACATGTGAGCACGTCATGAATGAATGAATAAATAAATAAATAAGATCCTAAATGTGTCTGCCAACAAACACAATAAACACAAATAAAATTATTAAATTACAAAAATAATAAAGTCACAAAACACTCATCATTAGTTTAAAAGTTATTGTCCCTCCAATTAATAAATTAAATATGTTCTATATATAAAACAGGTCTGTCTGCTTCGTATTTAGGGACGTCCCTAGCTCGCTGTTTGTTGTCAACAAGATGGCTACAAAACATTCGCACTGCTTCCATCTTGTTTTACGTCATAAATAAATCTACCTTTAGAAAAAAAAGTTCTAGTTGTAAATGGCGTTTTTGCCGTTCCAACCACATAAGTTCGCATATCCGCCATGTTTTATTGCCAACTGTATTAAATTTAAAGATATGATGCTTGTGTGACATCCGATGTCATAACGTTTATACCAAGTTTCGTGATAATCCGTCGACTGATTCAAAAGTTCGAAGTGACTCACAGACAACATGGCCTTCTCATAATCCTACTTTCCTTATTCAAGAAACCAGTATGGATAAGAGAGCTTAGTGTGAAGGGAAAAGAAACGGTAAGTTTGCTTACGTATGTGTGGTATCACTGTTCGCTCCCAAGATGGTTGGTTGGTTTGCCCTCAACGCGAGACACGAATCCCAGAAGCAAGATTTAGTAATTAGTTTTACAAGAAACTCCCCAAGGACATCGGGGATTTCACACATCCTGCCAGCTGCCCGGTGTCGTCCTGGGCTGAACGAAACGACGGA